TTGAGCATTCTAGTTTGCCAACCACTAGGCTAGAATAGTGGAGAAGCACCCACTATCCTTGAGTGGACAGGGTTTAAGAACACAAATCTCTGCACACATTAAAATGGTTCCCAAGGTTGAATTCCAAAATAGTCCTACATTCACTGCAAACTCTAAGCCAGCGTTTTTCAACCGCTGTTCCGCGGCACACTAGTGTGCCGCGAGATGTTGCCTGGTGTGCCGTAGGTGCAGACAAGACAAGAATTTTATAATTTTTCACTATTTTGTTTACTTAATATTTCATAATAAAGTAATTATAAAATACTTTCTTTGTGTTTATTTGATTCCTATTCAAGAGAATTACTTTATATATAGTCAATATAGGCACAGAGTTAAATTTTTTTTAACATTTTCTAATGGTGGTGTGCCTCGTGATTTTTTTCATGAAACAAGTGTGCCTTTGCCCAAAAAAGGTTGAAAAACACTGCTCTAAGCTAGCTTGGAGGATTCTGGTTACCTGATGGCAACTACAAGGTTAACCAAAGCTGCCTCTAAGATGATATGGCATTTGCTCCAAATATTCCATTTAAATGGAGTAATTCAAGCATCTAAACAGGCAAAGCCTGGAGTCACTACATTGTGTGCTTTTATGTATGATCTCTTGGCAATAATGTCTGAGTGGGAGCAGAACTTCTCTCTCTTGCTTTTATTTCCTGCAGAGTGATGGTGGCCTTGGAGGTGGGTGGAGCTCACCTACCCCTGATGACTGGACATCCACTCAGCATGGACAAAGGAGCCTGAAGACTCTATGCTGCCAAGTTGGGCTGGGCCAGTTCACAACAAAATTAGAAAACAGATGGAGGGAGAAAGAGTATCACCAGCAGTGAAGGAAAGAAGAGCTGATTCTAGGGAAGGGAAGAGGCAAGCAAAAAGCTCTGCTCTGTGGAGTCTCAGCCACCCAGAGCCCTGCTTTGGGAGTCAAAGATGACATGATTTCCGCGTGTCTTTGTGGCTGGAGAGACCACCCCCAGATTCAATAGCCCTTTCAACCCCCGTGGAGGACAGTTCTTTGACTTGGGGCAGCACATACTTTCACAAAGCTCGTTATTGTTGGCACATTTGCTGCTTCCAGTCGTGGTATGTGCGTAGAAAGATCTCCTTTCCAACTGCCGGCACCAGGCAGAATTTCCAACACCCTTTACAGGGTCTGTAAGGACTAAGAAAAGCAGGTATCTGAGGCCTGGCCCTTGGCAAACACTCCATAAATGTCAGGTGTTTATTATCATGTCCCAAGGAGTCTAATACCGCTCTCTCACAGGGATCCTGGGGGTTTGGGGTGGAGTTTTTGTTTTGTTTGTGTGTTGTTTTAAACCTCTGTTCTTCCTCTTATGCTTTTATTCACACAATCCTACAATTTTAGGGAGAAGAACACGCTGGATCATCCAACCCAATTTCCTCATTTCGTTATGAAAACCTGATCCTTGATCAGAGGGAAAGTTTGAGGCATTGTCCTTTATCCATATATTTCCTTACGCAGGCATAAAATACATTGATACTTAAAGCAGGCTTTAGAATCCCGTGGCCAACAGCAGGGACTAAAATGCATCTTTAATCTATTCCAACCAAAACACAGGTCAAAAAAATCATTTAAAAATACAGGAAAATAAAATATGCAGTAACTTTGTCAACAGTTCAAGTCACTTCAAATAAAAATCTTTCTTTTCCTCCTCTAAGGTGTGGGGAGCCCATGAGTTCATGAAATAATTTCTGAAAGCACTCTGAAAAGTTCGTTCGCTCATTGACTCAATCAACAAATTTTCATAAAATGCCTACCTGGGTAGGTTTTCCTTCTAATGATTAGGTCTAATAAATAGATATATAACTCCCCGAACTATACCTCCCACCTTAGCCAGCCTCTCCCTTTGCATCTCCAGCTCACTCCTCAGTTGTGTGGAGAGGACCTGAACTTCCTTCCTTCAGTGAGTCCTCATTGGGCACCGATTCAGCCACAGTTCTGGGCACAGGGATCGGAACAGCGAACAAGGCAGACACAGCCCAGCTCCTAAGGAGCTCATGATCTGGAGAACTTTTTGAAGTGAATATTCTTTGGTGCCTAACTTAAAGGCATTCAGATTCCACCCGTTGTTAAATTCACACTCTTTACCAGACATGTTCACATGCAGCCTCTCTTTATTGCTCATGACGACCTTGGGAAGTAAGCACTGCTATCTTGATTGTTCTGAGGTCACACAGTGTTGGAAGATGCCCATTGGCTTCACTAGCAGAAAGAGGTGGACAAGGAACCCGGAAAGCTGGTCAACCTTGAGGCTCTGGCAAGGGTCAGAGCCACGCACCCACTGTCTAGTTGAGACAAAGGGAGCTGAAGCCAGTTCCAGCTTTTAGTCTATGTAAATCCTAGCTGATGGGCTATCATGGAGCTGTTATTGGAATTGCCTGCCTAAGGGCTATGGGTGTACCCAGACTTGAATAAAAAGGATGGCAAGGCCAGAGCAAAGCTTAATCCTCTCTTGAAAGGGCTTCTGCTTGCCCCCCAATTCCAAATCAATATTCTCTTGTCTAGTTTCTTTCATTTGGTGCAGCCTCCTCCAGAGCTCAAACCCTGAACCTGAGCCCTGAACCCCATGCAGGACATGGGGGGACACGCGCAACTGGCAGCCCAATGTGGGGCACTCGTAACACAGCTCTAGGAAGAGGTGGAGCCAGAATTCCAACCTGGATCTTCTAACCTAGGCCCAGCATCAGTGTTCCTTCTCTCTCCTCCCCTCTCTCCCTTCTCCGCACCCCAGTCTTTCCACAATTGCACTATCTTTTTCAGGTAGTCACCCTTCCTAAGCCAGGCGTTTCTTGTTATCTTTAGCCAGACTGGCCTTAATTCTAAATGGCATTGGTCTACTCCTCTCACTCCCCTCACCTCCACCACCACAAGCTCTAAACATCTCTTCATCTTGCAAACTGTTTCTGCTCACCAGCATTAGGTCTAGGCTGCTATGTCTACTAAGCCCTTCAGCGAGTCCAGGAGAGGCAAAGCATTGCTGGCCCCTTGCATCATGGGGCTTCTTTAGGAGAATTTCTCTCTAGTAGATGGCATTTAGACATAAGTATGTAATCACTAGTGTCCTGGTGGACAGATTCGTACACATTGAAAGAAAATTAATTAGAGGAAATATTTTAATATCGCTATTCGTGTCTTGCTAATGAAAAGAAAATAGGATTCTACCAAGTCTTCTATATACATACTCTAGGACTTCTGTGAGGATCAAATGAGAAGAGGTATGGGAAAGTGCTTCACAAAGATTTGGTTAAAGTGTAAAATGTTTGCACCTGGCTATAAAGCAAGTCAAGTTCCTGAGCTGAAGAAACTCTAAGGAGGCTAGTTGCTAGGGAGAGGAAGCCAGGCATTGCTATGTGATATGACGTCATTACCCAGCGTCCACAGCCACAGTTTCCAGGCTGGGGTGGGCTATGGGCTGCATTTTGCACCATTGGGTGTTGGCAGCATTGGCTGCAATTTGGTGGGGTGTCGCTCTGGGTGATGGCAGGGCCTGTGTCCCACTTGGGTGAAGCCGAGTGTTGCTTTGTGGGTGCCAGGTCCACAGTGCCATTTATTTTTAAATGGCCAGTGCACATCATGGCAGCTCCTGAGTTGAGCATCTGCCCCCTGGTGGTCAGTGCAAAACATAGTACCATTCAGACAGGCTGACAGACTCTTAGCTTTAGATAGATAGATAGATAGATAGATAGATAGATAGATAGATAAATAGATACTTGCTTTGTATAGATAGATAGGTAGATAGATAGATGATAGATGATAGATAGACAGATAGATAGTCCTTTGCAGTAGCCCTCAGATTTGAAATACTCAAATTTTCTGCTTCTTGGTATCTGAATAACAGGCACTCTCACATGTGCTAAGATTATTGGGCAAATATGCTATTTGCAATATGGTAATAGCAAAAGATCAGAAGCCATTAAATGCCCATTAATAGAGACTGTTTCAACAGAACATGGTGTATATGTAAAATGGAAAACTGTACCAAAAAGGAAGTTCTTTAGATATTGATATGGAAAGTTCTAGATAATACTGTTACTTTAAAAAGAAAAGTTACAAAGAGTTTTTATAGTATACTGTCATATTTGCATGAAAAAAATGAATGTACACATGCTTACATAAGTATGCACAGAATACTTTTGAAAAGGTCTATAAGAATAAGGTAATAATGATAGTTTTCAGAGCAGGAAACTGGATTTCTAAAAGGTGAGGGAGAGTGTAGGGCTTGCTTTGTCCTCAGATGATTTTTTTAATGGTTTTTGGATATTGTATGCATTATACTACCTACTCAGACAAGTTAAATTATCCTATATAATAAAAGGCTAATATGTAAATTGTCCCCTTAGGAGTTTGACCAACCAAGAGTTCAACCGCTTGCTATAACGTGCACTGACCACCAGGGGCAGAGCAGAATGAATGCCCTGGCTGGCAGTTAGCAGCTGGGGGAAGGAAGGCCTGATTGGCCTTGATTGTTGGATAGACCTAGGGACCCTACTCATACACAAATTTCATGCACTGGGCCTCTAGTTTAAAAATAAGATGCCCACAGAAGATGTGGGCAGCTCAGGAACAAAGACAATTTTCAGCGTGTCAGATGCCTCCCTGAAGCTGCAGTGTTGGGAACGCTGTTGCAGTATTTTGTTTCCCCACATGCTTACATAAAAGGCTAAAAGTCCAGCAGCATTGAGGCATTAGCTACCGACAAGTAGATTGAGGTTAAAAATGAATCGCACATGTTACAGATGTGGTCTGGGTTTGAATGTCTATAATCATCAACCTCATTGGGTGCAGAAACTCAATGCTCTCCAATAACATACAAGTGAGTCCTAGAACATCGTTAGGAGCCCATTAAAATAGAACCATAGACATTTTTCCTGTGAAGCAAATCAGGAAAAGAACAGGAAAAGAAGTCATTTCCAGCTAAACTTATAATGAGAAGCACATGTTTGGCCACGATAACCACCGTCTCCTAACTCATTCAACCACCAAATTTGGTGACTGCACCAGGATTTTTTCTTGTTTTAAAGCCAACTTAAAAAACAAATATGGATTTTTCAGATGCCATGGCTTCTGCACTGAAAGAAACGTGAACTGGGAGGAAAAGCACTGGGTGTCATTGCGAGGCCGTGGCTCACTGCGTGAGGTCTGCCAGTGAAATCGGCTTCTGTCTTTTTCCACCCCTGAGGGGTGTGGGCAGAGGCCACTCCGTGCCAGTTTTAGAAAGCCCTCGGCAGCTTCACGGTGCCCTGCTCGAGCTGGACGTGGACAAGGCCGTAGGACTCTCTCTCAGGATGCGGGGAGGGAGGTGCTTCCTCCCGCTGAGCCTAGGGCGCCCCCTGGGGACCACATGGATGAAGGCCCAGCAGCTGGAGGCCGGCAGGCGGACAACCAAACCAGATTCAGAATGTCACCTCCAACATGAACGTCACCTTCTCCTCCCGCCCTTCCCATGGCGATGCGTGGGTCATAGACGGACCGCTGGCACAAGTCATTCAGGTCAGTTTATTTCCCTCTCGTATCAGAGTTTAAAGTGAATTGATGGGAGAGTGGGAGAGGGAGGAGAGGAAGAAGAGGGGTTACTCCTTGGGCTTGAGTGAGGCAGAAGTCAAGGAACACAGGGAACACGTGCTCTGTGGACCTAAGAAAATCCTACTGTGAAAGACCCCTGTGCCCTATTCCTGACCTTTCAAATCTGCAGACTTTACAGCTACCTATTTTATGAAATCATGGGCTTTATAAAATAGCTACAAGACGCAATGAGAACAATGAAATGGGATAATACCAAGTACCTAACACTGTGCTGGGACATAGACGCTCAGTCTGGTGGCTGCTACTGTTGCCAGTAATATTGTTGTTAGATTGGCTCTGCTCTTCTCCTCATTATAAAATAGCCAACTATATTTCTCTACCTTGCCTCTGATAGATCACACAGAAATGCTCTATCTGAAATTTTATTATACCTTATTATTAAAGGTAAGTACAGTGATATGATAAATAAGCCAACTTTCACAAACAGCCCATTTTGATGTAGAATATGCGATAATCACAACATGTCTTAAATATGCCAACTAGAGTTGCTAATGATATAAAACACGTTATTAGAAAGGTGTTATTACATGGCCAATAAACTATGACAATAAGTTATGCCAAATAGTATATTGTTTATCCTCCCTCATTTTTCCCTTCCTTCCCCTCCCCCTTTTCCTGGTCTCTCTTCCCTTACACCCAGGATGATGGTTTACAGGGCCACAAGCACCTGGGCAGATAAAACAGGCTGGCACCTGTGAGTGGTAATCAGATGTGTGCTCAGTGACTGGTTGATGTTTTGTTTTTCAATCCTGCCATTGTGTGATGGTCACTGTCCCCACTGGGATTTGAGAATGAAAAGCCACTCCCCTAATCTTCCCCAGGCCTGAACTTCCTCCACTGGGGATTTGCAGTGGGAACTTCTTCCATTTTCCCAGAACTCTCTTTAAAAAGGAAAACAGTCCTGGGAAAGATGACATTCACGCCCTTAGGACTCGGTATAGAGAAGTGTATTTATGCTTTCTTTTTTTTTTTTATCTGAGTTAGCCAAGTACAAGGATCAAAAAGGAGGAGGTGGGAGAAATGGTGAAGGATGTGGGAGATGGCGGGCTTCTAACGATAAAGCATTCTTTACCTCCCCTTTTGCCCAGGGTCAATCTTCTCTGAGATTAACTGCAATGCAAACACCTTCCTGTAAGGCCAAATAAGGCCAAATTGAACCTCTGATCCTCCCTGAAGACCTGCTGACTTTAATAAACAGGTTTTCCATAAGGATTATCAAGTAAATAAACAAGTGGGTTTAGAGCGAGTGACTCAAGCTGAACTCTCTCATCTTCCCACAGGAGATCGGCCAGCTGCAGCCTCCACTCACACAGTCTGTCCCCAGTCCCCTTGGTGCAAAGACGGTTTCTCTGTTCTGTGGAAGGCCACGCCTGCACTGTGTGCTGATCTCTCCTCCCCCTTCTCAAGGACTCCCTTCTTTCCTTACTTCTTTCCTCTCCAGCTTTCTTTTTCTTCCACCCATCTATCCCCATCCACACACGGACATACTAGCCCCTCCTGCTTCCCTCTGCCAGTGACGTCTTCTCAGCCTCCTTTGCCAGCTGCCCCTTCTGTAGTGGTTCTTTAGGCAGAGACTGTCTAGGGCAGTGGTCGGCACACTCATTAGTCAACAGAGCCAAATATCATCAGTACAATGATTGAAATTTCATTCAATCGTTGAATGAAATGAGAGTGGGAAGCTAATGCTCAAAAGCCCCAAACCAGCTTCTGCACATGGGCCATGAAGTTTCAGTGGCACTGTACATGCGTACCTGCACGTGGTATTTTGTGGAAGAGCCACACCCAAGGGGCCAAAGAGCCTCATGTGGCTCGTGAGCCAATTTGCCAACCACTGGTCTAGGCCTTTGCCTGTACTCTCCTCATTTTCCTCGCTGCCCTGATCTCATCTAGCCCCATGGCTTCAAAGAGCATCAATAGGCAGGTGATGCTCCCATTTACATTTTTAAGCCTTCACCTCTTTCCTCCCCTCTCTGACTTGATATATCTGAATGGATGGCTAGTTGACCTCAAAAGGGAACTATTGATTTCTGCATCTCCCCAGCCCGAAGTCACTCCTCCCTCCATCTCAGTAAAGGGCTCTGTTCTCCAACCAGGTCATCAAGTCAAAAAGCTAAGAGAACTCTTTTCCTCACCACCCTCCCTGATTAACCCATTGGGAGAGCCTGTCAAATCTCCCTCCAGATCACATCCCAAATCCATCTGCTTAGCTTTATTCCCCACTGTTGCACCTTTGTCTAAACCATCATAATTTTTCCCCTGAAATAATCTCCTACAGGACTCTGAGATTCCATATTTCTCCACACAACCCATTCTTCATGAACTTGTCAGAATTATATTTTAGGAATGTAAATAATGGTATAACTTTCCTTTTCTTAAAACACTCCAACAGCTTCTCATTGCACTTAGAATAAAATAAAAACTCCTGGGGGTGAGAGAAACAATGGGGGTTGGGGGCGGGGGAGACATATGTAAAACTTTAGACAATAAATTTTAAAAAATCAAAACTTCTTATTATGATAATCAGGTCTGCCATGAAACATCTCTAAAGGGACATAAATGGAAAACTCCTAAGCTCAGTGGCCAGTTACAGATAATAAGATATTATCCCAATGCTGACAGAACAAAAATTCTCCATCCTTTAACCCAAACTTTATACCAAGGTGACACAGCCTCCTTAATAGCAGAATAACTGCCTCATGATAATTGGGCTTCCTCTCAATATGGAGGCTGGGTTCCAAGTGTAACTGAGAGGTGGGAGCATCAGGTACAATGCATTCTTCTTATGACCTAGCTTTGGAAGTCACAAAGTAATAATTTCTATCAAAATGTGTGGATCAGAGCAGTCACAAACTCCACCCAGATTCGATGAAGAGAACATATAGAGCCCACCTCTCAGTGTTAGCAGTGTCAGGCACATTAGAAGAAGAATATGTGGGATGATGGGATATGTAGATGAGTGTGACTAACTTTGAGAAAGATTATCTGTCCCTCGTGTGGCCATGGTTATGATTTTATGTTGTGAAGCCAAGTTTTCTTTTAGTAAAATTGTTCTTGGTTCATACACAGGAAGTAAGTAAATAGCTTTATAGTCTATTGCATTCCACAAAGATTTAGGGTACTCTGTCTACCAAACAAGTCTGAGAACCATTGGTCCTGTCCAACTGTTTTCTTTTGTAACTGATGGACCAAAGGACTTAAAGAGATAATTGTGATTTGTTTCAAGAAAAGCTATTGCCAATCTCATTCTCACTTTGCTTGATTCTAGAGAGAGTAGAATTTGAAATTGATTCTAAAGGATGGACGGGTTAGAGTTGGGATGATTGGGAGCTGCTGACTTGTGAAATGGACTTTGAGAAAGTTTGGGGCACTTAGTTTTCCCTTGATGTGGATTCTGAAGAGTCCTGTCTGGCAGTGGGAAGTGGAGGGAGTACAGGATAAGCAGAAGAGGTCAGTGACTGGAAGGGGATGTGACAAGTAGTGTCTCTCAAAGTACCGCTGGTGGACCAACTGAGAAAAAATCGGAATCACCTAGAGTGTTTATCACAAGGCAGTTTCCTAGGTCCTATACCTTTTAAGTCAGAATCCCTGGGAATGGGGCCCAAGAATCTACAACTTAACAGACTTTCAGTGGGTTCTTATGTTACAGAACTGAAAAAGAATTGGTCCACAGGCTCTATTAGAGCCAAATACTAAACACTGAGAATTGCAGTGGAGAAAGATGGGCTGTTTTATTATGAATGGTGCCATCCAGGAGAGTGGGAAGCTAATGCTCAAAAGCCTGGACTCCTTGGTAGCCTGTATGATACAGATTCTATAGGGCAATGTCCCAAGACACTATGTGGTTCAGGGGTTCAGGGTCATGCTGGGAGCTGATTGGTCACAAGTGAGTTAAGGTTAATGAATCATTTCTTCAGGTCTTGAGGACAGCTCTGAGGTCTGCCCTGGCGTCTCTCTGTCTGGTCTCATGGGAAAGTAGCCAGAGGGTGGGTCCACTTTAGGGCTCAGGAACTGAAACATTACTTAGGTCAAGATGTTATCTTTAGCCTGCCAGAGGTCCAGACCATGTGATTATTAGTCAGGCCTGGGCTACTTACTGTCTTCTCCTGCTTCGGGGTTGCTAATTATTCTGGGAGAAGGCTAGTTCTCTCCGATAGAGAAAGACAGAGACAGAGACAGAGAAACAAAATACACACACACACACACACACACACACACACACACACACAGATTTCTAGAGCTAGGATTTCAAACTGAATTTAACCAAAGTCATAAAGACCCTCAATTTCACTTATGCATTCCATCATTTGAGAATTACTGAGACAGATGATGAAACTAACTTTGGTTTATAAAATTGAGCCTACTTTATAAGTTTAAAGCCAACGACCCGAATATCTGTGTGTCACCTGAACACAGCTCATCAAATTAAGTAGATACTGGAGCAAAGAAGAATTGAAGATTTAAGTTTTCCTCAAAATAAAAACACAATTTGGGGGTAAGTGACAAATTAAATTTCAAAGAGTTCAATCTTTAGCCTTCAGATACCATTCAGCTATATTTTACAATCCACTGTCATTGTCATTTTCAATAAGTAAATGTCTCAAAAAGAAGGCTATAAGTTGATTTCAAGACATCCCTCTATCTACTGCTTCACTTGGTGAGAGAGAAAAACACATGGCTTTCTGTGACACTGAGCTGATTTGAGCTTCAAGAGTCAGGAAACATGCATTTCCATAGAAGCCTGAGGATGAAAAGCTGGAACACTATATGGGGGGCACTTGATATGATCCCATTAGGTCTAGTCTCACAACCCACCCATGGTTTCCATTAATATCTTCCCTGCCTCCCTCTGAAATTCTTCACAATCAATAGCTTATTGTTAAGAAGTCTCTTCTCTAGCCTCAGGCCATTTTCAACAGCCAGCTCCATGTTCCTCTGCCGCCAACCAAGACCCCTTTCTTCTTCCTGACACTAAAGAATGAACTTCCTGATGGCATGCAACCAGCTCAGGGATGTTAAGCCACTCTGGTCACACCAACGGATTGACTCCTTGGGTCTTCTTGTCTTATAGGACTCCCTCACCCATCTCATGGACATCCTAAAATATCACAGATACTCCCACAGAGCTTTGCCCAAGGCAGCTTACGATCTCCATGGCAACAGCCATCCATCTGCTTAACTTTTCTAGGTAAGACAGTTTTCTTTCCCTGGAGAGTACTGATGATGGATCCTATATGCTTTGCATTGTTAGTCTAAGTTTCCTCCTCCTCTTCCTCCTCTTCCTCCTCCTCCTACTCCTCCTCCTCCTCCTCCTCCTCCTTCTTCTTTTTTAAATAAAAAGGTGTTCTTTAACTTTGTTTCTTGAAGCAAACTGTTGCTCTTTCTTTGGATTTCTCTGCCTTCCTCTCCATCCGGCCCCCTTGTCTGCTCCCTGCCCTCCCCCACATTGGTGGGCTGCTCACTGGAGGGCTCTTAAACAACTTTAACACAGTTGAACTTTGTTTGCTGCATATCTGTGTTTCTGGCCTTGTGAGAGAAGGCATTGTGCTAGGAGGCAGAACCATTTGGTTGGAGAATTGTTTAGACTGTGGCAAATAGAACAGTTAAATAGGATGTTTCATAAAATTAAACTTCAAGGGGAAAAGAAGGCATCATTAATACACGAAACAGAAAAGGAAAAAAAAAAGGAAAAGTTGGCATGGGTAAGGGCATTAGGGCATTTAGGTCACACTAAAACAAGAGTCAACTCAGATCTTCATCTCCGCTTCACCAAGTTGGAATTTTCACTTTGAAATGGAATCCAAGGGGTGAACATTTCAGTATGTAAAGAGATAGAATTGGAGGTGGGGATTGTTCATGAGCATAAATCACAGCTTTCCTATCAGTGCTTCTTAAAATCCACTGTCTTCATTTTTTTCATCACTCTTCTTCATTTTATTCCCCTGGGCTTAACCAGCAAAATGGAATTTATTTTTCCAATGTTCTTTATTCAGTGTACAGAGACTGGAAGTCTATGTCTGTTAGGGTTTATGTCAGGATGGCACACAGATTCTGATCTGCAATGAGGCACATGCTAGTGGAAGAGTGAACTCAAACCCTTGCTGGACACAGAGCATCACAATACATCCTGGGTTGGGAACTATGACCAGAGTTCTGTGCTTCACTCCAACACTGGCTGGGTGGTCATCAACGAGCTTAGGTATCCCGTTTCTCATCCATGAGTAAGTTGAATGAACTGAACTTTCCTTTCAGCTCCAAATTTACAAGTTACCACCATTCTAGACCAAATATTTCCTCTACATTTACAAGTTACCACCATTCTATACCCAATATTTCCTCTTACCTCTTGTAGAGGAACACTAGGCAAGGTCTTCCTACCTCAGGGTGCTACAGGAGATCACTTTGCAGGGTTATTAGAACAAAACAAGAAAGTATTCATTTCATGTTCACTGGGAAGGCCTGTATTCTTCATGCTCAGAATGTGCCCTTGTGGAGACAGCAGGGTACATGCCCAGCTCTCATCGTATAGGAATCTTTCCCTAAACGTACCGAGCTCTGGAAGTAACACGGTTAAGGGATCACAGAAACAGGGGAGAAAGGACTGAGGAAAATGCAAGGAAGAAAAGATGTAAAATGAGGACTCCCAGGTGGGTGGGAAGCACAGATCTCCCTGGTGCCCGGATGGGCAGAGTCAGGGTATTTATGAAAAGCCCAGGTAATTCACCGAGAGCATCAAACATGATCATTGTGCAGGAAAAGGTGAAGAACAGAACCTGGCATTTAGCAAGAGCTGTTACTTTTACTGCCACTGTCTTTATCGTCACAGATGAGGAAGCAGGTCCTGGAACATGTAGCGATAAGCTGAGATCACACCGCTAATGAGGAACAGAACAGAGAGGAGGACCCATGGTCACTGAATCCAAGGCTGTTCTTTTCTCTCCACTCACCTGAAGGCCAGACAAGCGGAGAGGAAACAGCTCCTGGACCAGCACCCTGAGCCACAGGACCAGGCGTTTGCTTGTTCTCATGTAGGGTTGTCTTCCAGAACAAGGGCCAGCAAACGTGCCAAGGCCAGACAGGATGTGTCTTAGGCTTCTCGGGACACATCACCCCCACCGTCATGGCTCAGCTCTGCCTTCCCTGCACAAAAGCAGCGTGGTGGGTGTGGCTCTTTCCACTAGAAGTTTCTCTACAAAAGCAGACAGCAGGCTGGAGACCGCTGTCCTGGAACGTCCCTACTGGAGGAAGCCTGGTCAATGGAAAGTCAGGGATGTGCCCAAACAGAGAGACCTTGGCCAGGTCACCTGCCTCTCTGTGCCTCGCTTCCCAGGGTTCCTGTGAGATTGGGCAGGCTGAAATGAGCAGCCCCTTAGGACAGTTCTGGCTCAGGCGAGCCATGCCCTCCCCTCTCAGAGCTCTGCTGCCCACTCTGTGGGGCAGCCTCTGTCCTCCGAGCTGAAGGCTCCGTGGAGAATGAAACAGAGCATCTGTTCTCCTGGGATGAGTATTCTGGCCAAGCAGGTGAGACAAAGGAAAAATCTCCATGTCAGGGGTCAGGAGGCTGATAAAGGCTGGAACATAAAGTAGAACAGGAGTAGGTGGGAGAGGGAGGTGTGTTTGTAAAGTTTTATGTGGGGTGGGCCAGGGGAGAGATTTTGAGCAGAAAACTTCATGAAGGGAGGGAAGGAGGCCTGTAGGTACCTGGGAAGCGTGTTTTAACACTGAAGCAGAAGCCTGGGGCCCAGTTCCCGGAGGTGAGGTGGGTGTGGCCATAGCATTGAGCCAGGCTGGGGGCGGGGTATCTCCTGCCTCCCTGCTCCCCTCCCTCCCAGCTTCTCTCTCCCCAGAGATCTATGCCTCCTTTGCTGTGCTCCTCTCTGATCCTTGGCCACGCCTCTTCTTTTCACTAATATTTCCCTCTGCTGGTGGCATGAGAAGCCAAGGAGGTCATCGCCCTCGGAATCAGCAAAAGCGAGGGCTGGCCCAGGACAGGGCTCTCCAGGAGGATTTAGCCTAATCCCCCCAACGCTGGGCATCAAACAGAAAGGCTTAGGAGGAACATGATGAGAACTAATCCAGAGGCCGTCAAGAGTATTTTGTTGTTGCTCTTTAAACAAGATCCCCAAGTCTTTAGAGAAAGATGCGTTGTTTTGGGTGAATGTGGGGAGGAAGAGACAGGAGGAAGAGACTGCAGTGGGAGTGAGCCAGTGGCTGAGGACTCAGCCCAGGACTCAGAGTACAAGCAGTGCGTGATTACCAGGGCTAATGTGTGGGACATAAATACCCCAAGCCCTGTGGCTGGCAATCTACAGACCACTGGCAAGGTAAGCTGCTGTGTTCTGATCAAACAAACATTATATATGTGTATCATGGTGGATCTTCTGGTACACTTCCTATAGAAAGAGGGGAATGGGAGATTGGGAAATAGGGGGTGAGATTGGAAATAGGGGGTGAGAGAAATAGGGAGAGAGAGAGAGAGAGAGAGAGAGAGAGAGAGAGAGAGAGAGAGAGAGAGAGAGAGAGAGGGAATCTCCCAGGACCATCGGTAATCAGGCTCACTGTGTAATGCGCTGAAATCCCACGGTGCTCAGAAGTCTGTAGCTGCACCTGCCTGCAGAGAAGCATGCCCGTATTTTCACAGGAAGGCGGCAGCTGGGCTAGCGGCTCTCCTGTGCTTCTCAAACTCGAATGTGACAGGAATAAGCTGGGAGTTTTATTCCAGCCCAGAGTCAGCCGTGGGTCACAGGCATCTGAAAGTCTGCGTTTCTATGAGCTCCCGGTTTGGCACACACTGGCTGCTGCTTCAGGGCCACATTTGATATAGCGGGCTCTTTAGTGCAACCATAACCCTAACAGCTGAAGTTACACGCACTATCGATTTCATCCAATGCTAATGTTTTTAATAACATGCCTTGGCTAGGGGTGGGCAGGTGTGTTAATTCTGGGCTGGGGAACCTCTGGAGTTCGTAAACAGAAGTTTCCAAGGTTTGGTTTGGGAAAATGTTAATAAATCTAGGGGGGATGTCCCAAAGGGAGTCCCGTGCTGGTCTACGTGTGCAGAGGTCTGGAAGCCAAGTGGGTGCTGATCCAGCCCGGACCTGGTGTGAGCAAGGCCTACCCTGAGCGTGCTGGAGCGCCAGACAAAGCTGTACCTAGCACACCCATTAGCCCTTTGTCTGGGCTTGTCTGGGCTTGTTGGCCTTGGGCGCCATCTCGTGGGCAAACAGAAAACTTTTTATGAAAGAGTCCTAGAAAGTGATTGATCCTTTGCCACGAGCACCCCTGGCCTACTGTCCTTCACAGCCCCATGGGGCCCCTGGCCACCAGAGCTGACCAGAGTGAAGATGGCCTCCCAATCCTGGCTAGTCATGGCTTTAACTGCAGCAGCTCCTGTCCCAGGAGCTGAGGGTGTAGTAGATTGAATTGGGATTGTGACCCCAATTCTTCATCTCACCCCAGAGTCACACCCTTCATCATGTGACGTAGCAGATCATCCTATTAGGAACGAAGTGTACTTCCCCATCCCTTAGCCCTGGGTGTGGCCGTGGGACATGTGTTTCCCAGTGGGATGTTAAAAGACACAATGCAAACAGAGGCTGGAACTGTGCCTAGCCAGGTGGACTCGCTGTGAAAACATGTTCTAAGAATCCCACTGATCCAAGGGTGAGGAGAGCCTCCTTGAACAGACCGGGACCAACCTGCAACTGAGGGCCCAGCCCAGCCCTGACCTGTGGCCGTGTGAGCAAAAGTACATGGTTATGCATGGAAACCAGTGGCTGGCCGGCCTCCCTCCTGCAGCCAGAGTCCAGGAGTTGAGCTGGACAACTGGGAAGATGAAAGACCACCTTTTCCTCGTCCGTGCCTGAACTGTGTTCGTAAGATCTACATGCACATTATACCTCTGGCCTTTCCATCACTCCCACTTTTCTGCCAGGAAGTCTCCCAGCTCTCAAGGTGAAACATATATAACTGCACCCACAGATATCCTATAGGGAGCATGAGAAGGTCAAGTTCACCTTGGAGATCACCCATGGGAGCTACCAGAACCACACTCTCTGAAGTGATTTGGCCCAAATGCATGACCTTATTGCTGCATTTGAGGGGAGGAGGAATGGAGGGATTTGCAGATCGGGGCTGGAGTTGGTTGTGCACAGAGCTAAGCATGTTCCCGGGGAGTCGTCTGCCACA